TGCTCCAACAGCCACGGGCACGGCGGCAGCAAGAAGTCCAAGGAGCAGAAGGCGCTGCGGCTCAACATCAACGCGCGCGAGCGGCGGCGGATGCACGACCTCAACGACGCGCTGGACGAGCTGCGCGCCGTCATCCCCTACGCTCACAGCCCCTCGGTGCGCAAGCTCTCCAAGATCGCCACGCTGCTGCTCGCCAAGAACTACATCCTCATGCAGGCGCAGGCCCTGGAGGAGATGCGGCGCCTCGTGGCTTATCTCAACCAGGGCCAGGCCATCTCGGCCGCCTCGCTGCCCAGCTCGGCGGCGGCGGCCGCAGCGGCGGCAGCTGCGCTGCACCCCGCGCTCGGCGCCTACGAGCAGGCGGCCGGCTACCCGTTCAGCGCCGGGCTGCCGCCCGCCACCTCCTGCCCGGAGAAATGTGCCCTTTTCAACAGCGTCTCCTCCAGCCTCTGCAAACAGTGCACGGAGAAGCCTTAAGCGCCGCCGCGCCCCGCGTCTCGCTCCCCGCCGCCGCCGCCCGGCACGGGGCGCGCCGAGGGGGTCGCGCCGTCGCGTCGCCGTCGGGCCGGGCGCGGACAAAGGAGAGGCCGCGGAAAACGGGACGGGGGGGGCGGCGGGGACTGCGCGGGGAGGCACTGGGGACCCCCCCGGGGCCGCCGCGGGGGCGCGGAGGTGACCGGGACAAATCAGCGAGGGCACTTGAACATAGATTTTTTTTTCCTTTTTTTTTTTTTTTTTTTTATTATTAGCAAGATTATTATTATTATTCTGAGCCAGGCGACGAACAAACTTGAAATGTAAAACTTATTATTTAAGCGACTCGGAGAAACAAAGAGACTGGAGCGTTGCTATGAAAGACTTGGTATTTTTTATCGTCTCTAAACTTCGATCCTGTGAAAACGCGCAAAGTTTTTGTGAGAGTGATTTAAAAAATCGAGAGAGTTAAAGAAAAAAAAAAAGGAAAAACCGACGAAAATAGCCGATCAAACTCCCTACTCCGTGTGGCTGAAAGTATCGCATTTTTTAAAGAAATATTTATGTGCACCTTGTTTCTTTCCACATTGCAATGATGTATAAACAAGACATGCTATTTATTTGTTATTTTTAAATGACCCTTCCACGCCAACAATATTTATCATGTGTTAAGGTCAGGGGTCTTATGTGCAGTTACTTTAAATGCTTCTAAAATTCTGTTTATGGATTAACTTAAACTGTGTGCCAAGTGTTTAAAACGTTTATTTGCCAACAACGTATAACCAGAAATGTTGATGTACCAGAGCTGCTTAGGTTTATAAAAGGTCATCTGGATTTTTAAGTTGCATCATCCCTGTATTTAAATTGAGCTTTAATAAATTGCTTCAGTCCAAAAATTACAGGAAAGGTGTATTCTTAATTGCTGAGACAACTGAGTTTTGAGAGGGTATTCTTTGCATTAGAACAGGTAATAGCTATTTACTTTTACAAGGCATCAGAGCAATAGCTGCTACAAGAACATTTCCCCAGGCGCTGTGTTTTCAAAGGTATAATTTAAACCACTTTTACTGTGTATGTAAATTATTCTGACTGTGATGTTTATTTAAGTTGAAATACTTTAAAATACTTTAGGCTGATTTACAGAACGCGTGGAATTCTTCTCTTTTCTTTCTTTGCGGGGGAGGGGTGGGAAGTTTCTATTTTATTTTATTTTTTGGGAAGAAAAATGAGAGATGAAGAGCAAGAAGTAGCTATTTACCCAAAGTGAGCCTTCAGTTTGAGTTTGCATGGCTGGGTGGCTGTCTCTCTGCCATTTGTAAATCAAGATTTCTTTTTTTCAAAAAAAAAAAAAAAAAAAAAAAAAAAAAAGAGTCCTGCTATTTTCCACTACTTGCAGCTAATACAAATTCGGACTGTCAGGTTGGATGGCAAAATAGGAGCCGTGATGGATCTGTTGGCAGGTCACGGATGTGTAAAGAGTGATATATATTAAATAGGTCAATCAGATGATGACAGCAACGTACGATCGTTTGTATGTGTATCTATGTTGGAAAGAATCTTTATTAAAATATTTTGAGCAAACGCTTGGGCCACGCTCTGCTTTGTCACCCCTCGGAGCCCGGGGGAAGAGAGGCGGGAGAGGGGGGAATCCTCTCCATTCCCTGCTCCCAAGCGCACCCCAGCGCACCCCGGCTCTGGGAGCTGCCCAAAGAGCCCTGGGGGAACCGCCGGGGCCGCCTCTTTCCCCTTTACCCCCCCGTCCCAAAACGGGGGTCCTGCTGCCCACGGGCGGGCGCCGCAGCTCGCAGGGGCCGTCCCGGTGCGGGCAGAGCCGCCGCCGCCGCACGGGGCGGACGGGGCCAAATGTTTTCTGCTCCACTTGCCATCAAAAAAGATTAATCAGAACCTGTAACTTTTCAGGAAACATAACTGTAAAGTGCCGCGGAGCTGTGGGAAGGCAGCCCAGAGAGGGTGGGCAGATCAGCCCCCAGGCGCAAGGAGAAGCGTCTCTCAGCATTTACTAGACAAAGGCTGGGTGCGTCTAATTATGATTATTAAAACAATTTCCATGACGATGTCTAATATTATGTTAATTTGAAAACAACTGTGTATGAAAACTGTCGACTATAATACCTAAATTCATTTAATGAAACACATCGTTAAGGCAATTAAACCTCCTGGATGTGATTAAGGAACATAATTACGACACTGTTCTGCGCCATAATTGGGTGTCTTTAATCAAGGGGTAAAGTGATCAGCAACACAGCCATTAGTTTGTATTGTTCTGTCTCTGCTGTCCATCATTCTGATTAGGAATTAACCACCGCCACCAGCTTGGCTTGGTGCGTGTGTGTGTGTGTGTTTGTGTGTGCGGGGTGAATGTGTGTTCGGCCACATTTGCTGCAGGATTTGCTGCTTAATATTTCTCATTACCCGGAGAGACTTCCCCGAGACGCTTCCCTCGAAGCACCGCTCGGCTGGGGCTGCCAGTGGCTCTGGCGACACAGCCGCCCCATCGGGCGACATCGCGGCCCTCGGAGGCCCTGTCGGRCCGGGCCGGGCCCGGAGGGACTTTCGCACCGGCTCAGCCGGGAGGACGGAGCTCTGGGTACGTGCAGTGTCTGTCTATACTCTTAAGGAGYTGGAGTCTGGGGAGGCGGGGGTGCCGCTTAATCTCTTTTCTTCTTCTCCCCTCCCTGCCCAGGTCTTCCTTTACTGGTCCCGTCTCTTGGCTCGGCTTCAGCGTGTGAGTTAACAGTGGAACGKGGGGAAAGAAGACGGAAAAAGGACAGAAAACGCTTCTCATTCGCTCCCTCGCTGGCTCGGACTTGGTGCCCGCTGGCTCCCGCCTCGCTTCCCCGGAGGGGGCGGCCGGGGCGGCCCGTGCAGCCTCGACGTGCGGTCGCTGCCGGCGGGACCCGAGCCGGGCTGGGCCGAGCGGCTCCCACAAGCGCCTCTCCGTGCGAGGAGGAGGAGGAGAGAGGCTCCCGCCGCCCCTCTCGGGGCTTGAGAGCTTAGCCACGAAGGCATATGTCCCCCCCTGTCCCCACGGGAGATCCCCCGCCACTGCCCACGGCCCCGCCAAGCCCGGAGCCCCATCAGCCTCCCCCAAACTCCCTCCGCTCCCGCCGCCRGGACAGCTCCCTGCCTCGGCCCCTTACCCCGCTCCTGCGCCCAGAACGGTCCCAGCATGAGTGACATTGGCTTTCCTAATGTAATGACTTATGAAAGATATAATCATGTGTTAAATTGAATCCTCCGCTTAACTGTTAATGGTGTGCTCTGGGCACATTTACGTATTAGATGCTATGGTAACTAATTACCACTAGAAGAAGGGATAATACACTTTCCAGACTTTGACAAATAATTATGAGTGTTCACATCCCTGCTAGCAGCAGTTGCAGCGGATCTGCTGGAATGAGTAAGTGAATAAATGAATGGGTAAGTGAACTTGTGTGCATGGAGGGGACTAGATAATGAATAGTGGTCAAGTGAGTTTTCTTATTAAAACCTTTAATGAAAACGTGATTTAGGGTGGAAGGGGGGAGGGAAGTGCGATGCTGCCTCTAAACGTAATTAAATCGCGCAATATAAACATCAGAAACATAAATAAGTTTGCTTTTAATTAAAACGCAACAGTCAAAGTAAATTATCCACGTGCTCGGAAACTTTGCAGCAATTATCACTTTTTTTTTTTTTTTTTTTTTTTTTTTTTTTTTTTTTGAGGTGAGGAGAGGAGAGGGAGGGCTAAGAGGGGGTAAACAGATGAGCCAGGGCTCCGCCGAGACTCCCTGCGGGACCATTTGTAACTTTGATTTCGCCAGGTGCCAATAGGCCAAGGAGCGGCTGAGCTGTGAGGCGGGTGGCGGGGCAGCTTCTTCCCGCAGGACGCGGGGGAAGCCGCGACCGGCTCCAGCCCTGGCCCCTGTCTGAGCCCCAGTCCTGGGCCCGGCCCCAGTCCCGGTCCAAGTCCCGGCCGCCCCTCCGCGCCCCGCGGGATCGTTACCACTGCGCGGCATCGCAGAGCCCCCGGCGGGCTAGAGGGAGCGGGGAGCTTCTCGCCGTGCCCTGGAGAGCTGCGAGGCTCCGCAGCTAGCGGAGCTCAGCGGAGCTTTAGTCCCGGCTCTTCTTCCTGCTGCATGCGGAGCGCCGCTCGTGCAGGCGCAGCGGGGGTTAAGCCGCTCCTGCCCTCTCATCCCTACCCGCTGCTCCGCAGCGCTACCCTGGCCCGGGACAGGAGGAAGACAGGAGCCTGGTCCTCGTCCCTGACCCCATTCTGGTCCCTAACCCGATTCCGGTCCCTGCCCTGGTCCCGGCTCCAGCTCTGGCCCCGTCTGGTCCCGGCCGTGACTCGGACACCGCCGGTAACTCCTCGCCGTCGGTGACATCCTCAGAAGGGACATCTGCTAAATGAGCAAAAGGCATCAACCAGCCCCATTTCCCCGCGGTCGCTCATGAGCTCCATGTCACCGAGCCGCCCCCTCCGAGGTGCTTTTCAGGGGATCTGTAAGGGGAGTGGGCTGGTTCTCCAGCCCCCTGAAGGGTTAAATCCTCCCCCAAGCCCCTAGTTGCCCTTGTCCTCYCAACCTGATTCTGAGACGTGCAATAAAATACGAAGCAAATTTATGGTCTGTTTCAAGCACTTTACGGCTGTATTTTTAAATTCATATATGCACATGTAAGAACTATGATCTGTGAATAATTCGAAATGCTATAGCAAAACGATGCATTTTAGATCAAACACAACCGTTTTCTTACATAATTGTCTCGGATTAAAATAAAAAGAAAGATATATTTCGGGCAGAGACAAAAGCTGAAAATCTAATGACAGTCATAAACTGCTAGACAGCCATAAATTAACGTCTTCATCAAACACTGAAGGGACCGGCGCTTATCTAAATCAACAATTATTTCTCCCAAGAAGTTGCAGAACAGATTGCCCCTCTAATACTATTTTTAAACCCTTCTAATTGAGGATTAGGGGCAAACAACCGCCCTTCAGCGCAGCCCTCCTCCC